TTCAACGAAAACTTTCATTCGAAATGGAAGTAAGCTCAACAATTGAGAAATAGAGCTTAAAGTGAAAGGTATGTTTGGACTGGAACCGAATGAATTCAGTCAAGGCGAAAGATGAGAAACGGATCAACGGGCCGATGAAGAAGATCCGAATATAAGGTACGATTCGGAGCAGCAAATCGAGAGGGTGGAGAGAGGCAAGGTCGGCATCAGGTGTGATGGCGCTACACTAAACTTGCTAAAAAGAGCACACCTTTTGAGGAGTGGAATATAAAAATTCACAAGTTTTGGTAGGGCGGGAGTGAGTTAGGAGGGTAGGTAGGGACTAGGAAGATGTGTCAGGACAGAAAGATGAGTAATAGCACAAACGTTGGGCAGATGGCTGGTCAAAGAATTGACTTCACATGTCACTTTGACGAGTTGTAGATTGATGTTGAGAATGACAAGACTCACTGACGATGCCGACTGCGATGCCAGCTATGCATCACGTCCAGACCGCAACCAAAATAGCAACCACGACTTCTCGACCCTCTTATTCGCGTTTACGAGGACACTTTTTTGAGATCTATATCGTCCAAAATTTACTACAAAATCGTTAGATCCTCTATCAGTTCCTCATAAAATCCAAAGTTTATTCGAATAAAAGTTCATCTGCCTTTCAAGTGAAACTGAATTCAATTATTCGTTCACTTAGCCCTCTACTTCGTCATCTCAGAATGAATGTGGTGAAAGAAAATTTGCATGATATAATATTATATACCTTCCTAAATTTTTCAAATTATATACAAACTCTTATCACACACTCCCTCGGTACTGCTAAACTCATCATCTCATGTACACTAATCTACTTGTTTCTTCAGGCGCTGGCATCACGTCTTTTATGATTTAGCTGACAGGGTGGATTGCTCTGATATTTTTACTCACCTGTTTATGGATGCCACACCTTCACTTTTACATACTTTCATTTGCAGGCTCCTATCCACACCTAAGTAACACCATTTCATCCACAGGTAACCAAGACAACCCTAATCGTGGCCCGAGTTTAGGTACCATTGAGAGAGGGTGTCAATTACAATCGATCACATTTTTACCCTCTTAACACGCTGCTTTTCTCCCAAAGCACAAGTGCACACAAATTAGCCATTACACCACCTGAGACCTCGTAGCCGATATTAGTTTCATTACCGCTTGTTCTGCCTTTACGCGACACCACGAGGCACCTAGCAACCATGACAATACATCGCTTGGACAGTATATAGCAAATCAACAGTTCTATCCAACCTATCAGAAAGTGCTAGTGTTGGAGGAAAATTATAATCCGTCTGGCCATGTCTGCACATGAACACATACACATTTACACACACACGCATGGCATGCGTACCAGCATGTGTGTGTGTATGTGTGTGTGTGCAGATTGGCGCGTCGACATCAGCTTCTGGTGATGATAAAAAGGTGCAGAGAACGAGCCGATTTCACGGTCCATAAAGTGATTCCCTTTCGCGCATCACAGTCGCCTCCTCGCGGGTCGTCGTTTCCCGTCTTCACAGCATTGTTCGAACCAGCGGCCGGTGGATGACCTAATTCGACAAGGTCATAAAATTTCATCAAAAATCCTCTACAAGTCCGGTTTTTCACCTGCTTTTCGAGGCATAGCCGGGCTCCAGTCAGCATGCTCCTCTGCTTGTGCACTTACAGCCTGAAGGTGTGCAAAATGGAGAGTAGGCATGACTCGAGCTTGTCCATTTGGGCCCGGAACCATGGCCTGGGTTTTGTCCTTTGGGAGACAGTGAGAGGCTTCTGTGGGAGCCTGTCAGAAGGGGGATAGATGCCCACCCAAACCCCGTCCGGGGGGTCTGCTTTCCACTTTCGGGGCCCATTGTGATGAGACGCTCTTTACTCCAGCTCCTTCGCCACACTTCGTACTACCACCTAAAATGCAAATCACACACACATACACAGGCATGCATGCATGCACATATATGCACACATTGACATGATTGCCGATATGTGCCGACTGTCCTTTCTGACCGAGATTAAAACAATAGTCCAGTCAATCCGGCCAACGGGTCGCAGGCAAGTGGGCCTCCATATTGGCCAGACCCGATTTGTGGGAACCCGATTCCCACTCGTGGGCACTGGCGTGTGGGCCCGAAGGCAAGTGGACGCGCAAGTCGGAGGGCCAAATCGCAAATATCATATTCTCCCTAGACTGAGCAACGAAGTGGACAACCATGGCCACCAAGTGTCCTGTCATTAGTCATTGAAAAGCAGACACACTCACAGTTCATATGAAATGAAACTGGTCCCTTCTCAAAGCGAACATAAATGTGCGTGTGTGTGTGTGTGTGTTCTGGTGGTCGGAAAGAGTGGTCAAAGAGATACAGGCCATCCGAGCCTACCAGCATCTTGGCCAAGACTACTTTGCCGCTAGGAGGGGTCCTCGAGAGTCGGGCAATAATGAGATCTCGCTTACATGTTGCCCGGCAAAAGGCTCAGCCCAGGGGTGCGGCTATGGGAGTCGAGGAAGGTAGAGGCCGGGCTGATTACGACTTGTCCGGCCTGACAACTGAAGGTCGTAAAAGCCGCCCACATTATGTGAAAACTTTCCGCTTTTGGCCTACTCAAGAGTGTCGCCGTCTGTATTTTCTTGTCTCCAATACGCGTGTGCGTTTGTCTGGATGGAGGAGCTGTGTATGACCTCAGCCGGAAATCGGTACTCTCGTGGGCCGGTCCATGAGGGACTCGAAAGAGCGAGACTCTTTAGAACTGGTCAGTAGCATGTCCTCATCCGCCGAATCGCAGTTGACAACCATTTTATCGCCTCGGAATATGAAAACGATCGTTTCTTTCCGCTTCTTGACTGACATGATGATAAGACTTTAATCGGTTTTGTCGAGCGAAAGTATACGATAATCTAACTCAAGAACCTACCCTCCATAGTGGCCTTCCTATCTTTGTCTCCCTAGATTTTGTCGTATTATTTCAGTCTTTAATAATTGATCTATGATTAATACCATTCATCGTTCCTGCATCTTTAGGATTTTATTGTTTGAATGTAGTTTAACTAACTATTTTGTATATGAGGTTTGTCAACACCTAAGTTAATGAAGAGTTAGTATGCGAAAAAAAGTTGGGTTTCAAGGAATCTCTTGTTTCA